AGCATAAGCTTTCGTGGGTGAATACCCACTTCGTCAGACGCACGTATTCACCCCTGAAAGCTTATGCTCCAATACATCTGTTAGTCTATAAGGTGCCAAAGGACTCTTAGTCTGGATCTGTAAAAAGCAACAAACACAGCTACCCCTCTGATACAGTACAGCCTTAGCCATTTGGTGGCTCAGTGATGTGAGAACCTGGGGATGGGCAGGAAGGGGAATGACCAAGCTTTCCGCATGTCATAGGTAAGGCATGCACTAGAGATCTACTCCTTCATGGACAAGGTCTTGATATGAGTCTTGAGATACGGTGAATAGGATGTGATATACAGCAAATAGAGAGGGTGTAGGAATTCTTGTGGTATATACGGACCACCCCACAACATCACAGACCTCCAATAGTGGGACTGATCCTGTTTTTCTACATTTGAAATTCAGGTAGGTGACTGGAGAACTGGTAGGATTGTGACATCACAGACATCATGGAAGTGAAGCCTGATTAAAGGAGAGACAATGTCATCTTTATTCAGGTAGTTTAGCACTTTACATTTTTATTTGTTTTGGGGGGAGAGAAAAGATGGTGGTTATTAAAGATTCAGCACACCTGCCCTTTCACCTAACGGATAGGAGAGCTCCTAATACACATATTGAGTCATACAAGAAATCTTCCAACAAGATTCAGAAGATCAAACACAACATTCCTTATATTTGTGAGGAGAAAAAAGCAAGTAGAAAAATAAACTTTCAGGCCTTTTTATACAGCATAAGATAGCAAAGTGGGGGGGCATTAAAACCCACTCTTTAGCTCATCTTTTACTGGTAAGAGACTGTGTCCTTTCCTTCAGTCCTGGAAAAGATCCTGACATAACAAAGTAATGGGTTAGATGGTTGCAATATACTATTTCTTTTTTTTTTTACAGTGCAAATATTAATAATAAAAAATAAGATAAGGTGAGCACCGTACCCTTTGTACACTTTGTATTCTGTGTTGTAATAGAAATCAATATATTTGAAATGTAGAAAAACATCCACAAATATTTAATACATTTCCACTGGTATTCTATTGTTTAACCGTTCAATTAATCTCAATTAATTTTTTTAAACACAGTTAATATTTTTGAGTTAATCACATGAGTTAACTGCAATTAATCAACAGCCCTAGTTTATTCTGAAACTAACCTGGTTAAGGTTGACATATATTTTTAAGGTGCATGCCCTATAAATATAAACTGCATAATAAATGATAATAATGCTTAGATACAGGCTGGGGAAATGACAGGTCCCAGCATGCAACACTCCATCTGAATATCTCTTTAATTAGGCTTGTGGGGTCCCCCATGAGTAGCATTCCATTTCAATCTAAGAGGATGTTCAGCAGGGAGCTGTGACTCCAGGAGACACACAGACTCCCCAAAGGATGTTGGGTTTGATGTGCATGTGCTGGGCACAAGTGGTGGCTTGTGAAATTTAGGAAGTCAGACTAGATAATCTGGTCCTTTCTGGTCTAAGGTCTTAGACTTTATGGAGTCCAACTCCCAATCTGAGCCAAAGTCCTCCCTCTTGACATCAGTGTCTCTTTAATACACAGGTGTAAACCTATAGGAACATAAGAATAGCCACTCTGCGTTGGACCATTGGTCCGTCTAGCCCAGTATCCTGTCTTCTGACAGTGGACGATGCAAGAGGCTTCAGAGGGAGTGAACGGAACAGGACAATTTATCAAGTGGTCCAGTCCCAGCTTCTAGTGGTCACAGCTGTGGGGACACCCAGAGCATGGGGTTGCATCCCTAACCATTTTGGCTAATAGCCACTGATGGACCTGTCCTCCAGGAACTTACTTAATTCTATTTTGAGCCCAATTATACTTTTTGGCCATCACAACATGCCCTGGCACTGAGTTCCACAGGTTGACTGTGCTTTGTGTGAAGAAATATTTCCTTTACTTTGTTTTAAACCTGCTGCCTATTAATTTAATTGAGTGACACCTAGTTTCTGTGTTATGTGAAGGGGTAAACAACACTTCCCTATTCACTTTCTCCATGCCACTCATGGATTTTATAGACCTATATCATATCCCCCCTCAGTTGTCTCTTATGGAAGCTGTTCCATCCCTCTAACAATTTTTGTTGCCCTTCTCTGTACTTTTTCCAATTCTAATATGTCTTTTTTTGAGATGGGGTGACCAGAACTGCATGCAATATTCAAGATGTGGGTGTACAATAGATTTATATAGTAGCATTAATGATATTCATTGTCCTATTATCTATCCCTTTCCTAATGGTTCCTAACATTGTTAGTTTTTTTGTATTGGTGCTGCACATTGAGCAAAGGGTTTCAGATAGGGTTACCATATTTTGTGCCTCCAAATGGAGGACACTCCAC